AAAGAGTAAGACCAAATCTGTAATTTTAAGTCTAATATTGTTGTCTGAGGTGATGTATACAGAGCTACAGACCACACTTGTAGACCGATTTTGATGAAATTTGGTATGTAGGTGGTACTATAATCTGGCTGAAATATTTAGGCGGTTTAAGGGGAATTTTACATATATCCCCCTCTCCACTTATTTGTCTAATAGCCTCTCCAGCTGATAACGCTTTGTTAGCAAATGTCAAAACAAATGAGTAATCATTTGTTGATGTTTTTGTTTACTATGTGGTTTGCTTTCTGTATACTTAAGTAATACAGTGTGATTTGAAATGGCAACTAAAGCTCCAGATATTTCAGTACAGACTAAAAAAATAGTGTTTAGTGTTTATCAAAACCTAAAGGATATAGTTAAGACCCATCCAAATGTTACAGTATTGGAATTATTCTCAAACACACAACAAGCTACTGCAGATGCATGCTCATTATCACTTCGAAGTATTCAAAGAATTACCGCAGAAGGAAACAAAAATCCTATACATAATAATTGTAGGAACCAATTTCTATCATCTACAAAAAAGAAGCCTCATAAAAAGTGGATTACAGGCCTTGACGGCTTTGACAGAGATGTCGTGCGACGTACTGTATTAGAGTTCTATGATCGAGGAGAATATGTGACCTGTGATAAACTGAAGAATGTTTTAAGAGATAAAATCGGGTTTAGAGGGGGGCGAGACTCTATGCGGAAGGTTTTAAAAAAATGTGGGTTCACATTTAAGAAGTGTAATGATGGTAGGCGTTTTTTAATGGAAAGAGACGACATAGTAACAGCAAGATTAGAATTCCTCCGAAAAATGCATGACTTAAGAGAAGATCCACTACAGCGGCCTATAGTTTACCTGGATGAAACCTGGATTAACCAAAATCATTCAAAGAAATACATTTGGCAACATTCGTCAAACGAAGGTGGTTTGCGTGTCCCAATCGGTAAAGGTTCGAGATTAATCATTGTTCACACCGGATCAGCAAAGCACGGTTTCATTGAAGGAGCTGAGCTGGTGTTTCAGTCCAAATGTACAGGTGACTACCACAAGGAAATGAACCACGAAGTTTTCACAGAATGGTTTGTAGATATGTTGAAACTCTTAGATGAGGGGTGTATTGTTGTTATGGACAATGCCAGCTATCACTCAAAACTGAAAGAAAAAATTCTCTCTTCAAAGACTAAAAAAAAGGACATTACAGAATGGCTAACCAGCAAAGGGATACCTCACAACCCGAGACACACTGTCAGAGAATTATTAAACATCGTCAGAAGTCACAGAAAGGAATATAAAAGATTCGAAATCGATGACATTGCTCTGTGGATGGGGCATGAAGTGGTGAGACTTCCCCCGTACCATTGTCAGTACAACCCTATAGAATTCATTTGGTCACAGGTGAAAGGGGAGGTGGCAGAGCAAAACAAAACTTTTAAGATTAAAGATGTGAGAAATTTACTGGAAGAGTCTATTAAACGTGTTACCGTTGAAGATTGGAAAAACTGCGTGCGACACAGTGAGAATATTCAGAAAGAGGACTTTTTAAAGGAAATAGGCATCCGTGATGACAACTTCCAGCGTATCGTAGTTGATCTCCAGAACGACACAACTGACAGCGACAGTACCGATGACATTGATATGGAGAGCACAGACGGATTCGAATTCTAACAATATTGAAAACCGTGGCAATCAAAGGGTTAATATTGATTGTAGAATAATAATGTAAATGTTGTTATAATATACCAACATCAACGACTTTAATGACTAATAATGTTATATTAGAAATTAATTATTTTGTTTAGTTACTATTTTAATTAAATTATTTTTAATACTGCTAATGAAAATATTATTCTAATTTAGCTTTGATAGCTTTTAAATTTGAGCTGTAACCTTTTGATCTTTTAATTTTATTTTTTTAATATTGCTCAAATTGAGCAGTTTACAACGCCGAAAAAATGTCACCGCGAGTCCACAGACTCGCTGTAACAAATCTGCGGGATCGCTTTCAAAGCGATCTTTTGAAAACGTAACACTGATTCGCTCACTTATAAATACGTAAGTCCACGGGCTCACTTTTCCAATCCATGAGCAGAAATGAACCTTTGAGATCGTTATTGGTTGTATAGTGGTGTTTATAGGTGATTATAGCTCGATTGAAAATAGAAAAGTGGATATATATCCACTTTTCTGTCGAGCAGGTAAAAAGAATAAATAACAACTTTTTTTAATGGTGATGGATCTCTATAAGTCTTTAGTTACTCAGTGATCTAGTCACTGGGAGAAAAATGCTCCGTCAGAAACCTAGTACGTCACGGACTCCTTTTGCGTACTGGACGTTTGTGATAGGCGTCATTGCGTCCATTTATTTGTTTGTTAAATTCAAGTTCAGGTTATTTATCTGTATATTTAACCTATATTTTGTTATAAAAAGAGCTATATTTTTTAAGTGTTACAGTAATTTAGTTAGTTTTTTTTATGGTTTTCTTAACTGTGTATGCTATACTAAACAAACTTTTAAATCAAGACGAATTTGATAACATTTTTCGCGTCACATATAATAGCTACAAACACAGATTTCAGTGCCTAAATTTAGAAATTTTAGTATGGAATACCCCCTAGGCCCCCAGGATATAATTTGAAAATCAGCCTTTTCCAATCAAAAAACGTCTAATTCCAACCATGTATAAGGCCTGTATGAATTAGGTAAAAATGAAAAATAGAAGTGGTTTGTTTACGTCTTATACATAACAGCAAACAGCTGTCTTGGTCAGTTCCAGTGGAGGGGATAAGAGTTCTTCCCCTTAAACCGCCTAAATATTTCAGCCAGATTATAATCCATGGTATATCCAGGTTTTTTCATTTTTTTTGAAATTTTGATTTTTAATGGGGATTTTTCCATAAAGCCCATCAAAACGGAAAAATCAGATTTTTTTAAAAATGGCCGGAATGATTTTAATAAACATTTAGTATGTTATAGTCCTTCAAATTCTGAACAAAATGGTACAAATCCCAGTACTCAAAAAATTAAGCTTCAAAAGTTATTGTAACTTATGTTATTTTCCCATAAAAATCCCATAAAATTACTAAAAATCAGGTTAAAAAACTGTTTTGATAAAAATAATTTTTTATAGTCCTTATAATTCGAAACAAAATAATGCAACCCCCATTACTGTAACAATTACAGTTCAAAAGTTGTTACAACTTTTGTGATTTTTTCCTACAAAATTATCATAGTTACTCCCATTGCTTAATGCTTACCCATGATAAAAGTGGTTGGCAAGCTTATGGGAGAAAGTATGTGTCAGATTGCTTATACCGTTTATTTGTATAGCATGCGTCATTTAGGAGTTGTAAGCTGAAAACCGATCAAATAATTAACTTTTTTGCTATGTTGAGGAAAATATCCCAATTTTGAAAAGCTACAGCGGCTGAACGGCTCAGCCGATTTCAACTTATTTAATATCAATCGACGCGGAATTTAATGCACTAAAATATACCTGTGAACAACATTTTCCGTAGGATTCGTCATTTAGGACTTATAAGTGAAAAACTGAAAAAAGTGCAAAATTTTCATAGTTTTTCAACTCCCAAAACTTAAGCAGACGTCAGAATCCGTCGCAAACTCACAGGACTCTTATTTGGGACCCCCAAAAGGTAAACACTTTCCAGCTTTAGACGATTTTTTGGGGAGCATATGTCTAATTTGCCTGGGCTACATATAAAGATAACCCCTCAAAACTTGACTTGTTTTATATTTTGCAAATGCAAACAAGCCACTGTTTAGTGATTCAATTATTTGATCTATTACAATTTTGTATTAGCATACATTATACTATCGATATATCAAACTATTGACCAGAATGCAACAATAAGCAGTTACTGATTGAAACAATCAATACATACCGTACTTTCAATACATGCGGTTGTTTACAATCAAAGTTCACTACAGCTAATTTTTACCCTGTGTATATTTAAAACAGCTGTTTTTGCTGCAGTATGAAAAAGTTTTTTTGTCTCAGTATATTTGTATCAACACAATAATTAATCACCTTTCTAACAAAATCATGGTCCTCTTTTTGAAGTTAAAATCATACATGAGTTTTTTTCTTGTCAGTGAGGAGGCAAGTGGAAAATTTGACTGAACATTTTATCTCATGAGCATATCTTAAGATAAAACTCCACTGAACTGAGCTTCATCATATTCCTGACATATCACAGAGCTGGCCTATAGCACAGTGATGGTCTTCATGAATGACAGCATTCAAGGCAACCTGAACAGGCTTGCTTGATCTTTGACTTTTCTCAATTTTATGAATGTGGTTTAAATTGAAATAGCATCTACATTAGCAGTTTAAGCTAGTTTACATGGCCATTTTTCTAGCATTAAACACAGTTTTATATCCGATGCCCTTAATTATCTACCGTCGTGTTTCTCCAGCTAACAGATGTACCCACATCAACACAACAACTCAGGTGGTGTGACTCTATGGAACATCCATCCTCAACTCAGCCTCCGTTACTTTTGTGCCGCCTTTAAAATATGCTATTAACACATTACTTACTTGTTTAATTAAAAAAATTAAAACTGGTTTCTTACATTTTTACTAAAAACTACTTCTTATTACTCTTCCTATATTGTTTTTTGTATTCATTGATGATCTTAAGAAAAACTAATAAGAAACACCAATACGGACTTTGGATCAAGGTATCTGAGACTACATTTGATCAAAACAGGCTATCCTTGTACTGTACCGGCTCAAGCATTCCTGTGCTTTATATGTTCCACACCACATACAGGCCCGAGGCCTATGTGGATGGGCAAATGCAAAGTTAAAAGAGGCAGCCAACCTCTTAAAAAAAGGTTAAAATTAAGAATATACTAATTAGTTATGATTTAATTTTAAGCCTTATAGGAAAAGTAATGAAATTAATTACAATTGATAGCAATATTTTACAACCATTGATTACTTTTCAGAGGCAAGAAAACTTCTACCGGCCACCACAGCACTTCTATCATCACCATCCGCCTCCTCTCGCACCCAAACCTGCATCTGACAATGGCATTTTTGGTTCCATTACTTCAGGGTTTAACAGTCTTGTGTCGAACCTTTTTGGCTGAACAGATAAATACGAGAATAAAATATGAATCAAATTGTCTATAACCACAAAACCTACCAGAACCAATGTAAATAAAAAAGCTTTACTCAATCTAGTTTTAAGATTGACCTAATATTACTGAAATGTAAAATGATATAGCTTTGGAAAAATTGAAACAAAGGAACATAAAAAAGCGTATTGCTTTTCTTGCAGTTTCACCCAATAACCATTATTTATTTACAAGATCTCAACAATTGTATTTTAATTTAAAATTGTTTTATTAACTTTTAACCCTTTGTCATTTTTACAGCAAGTTGTTTATGATCACAGTGTAAATTCCTGTATTGTTTATATATTAAAATCTCAATGATTTTATGTGGTGTTTTGTTTACAATACATGACATCTTGTGTTAATTTATTACTTTATTATTTATTTAACAAAATGTACCTAGTTAATTAGATTTGCACAAATGTATGAAAGACTGCTATGTATATAAAGTATGGCGATGATTTTAAATGTCTTTCAGGTTTTATTATTTAATTACTTATGTTGTAATTTTGAGATGGAATGAATCCAGTATGAATGATGTCTAGGTTATTTTATTAAGTAAAGTTATTTTTTTCTAAATGTATGTCATAAAATGTTTATATTTTTCTTACAGTTATTTCATTTCCCTAAATTGCCATTGTGTTTCCTGAATTAAAATTGTTTGACTTACTAAACACTCTATACTTTACGTGGGTGGGCATCACAGCATTTTATAAGAGGTGAATGCACAGTGAGTGAGAGCTAGTATTTGGGTTGGTGGCCTTGTACCTTGCCTTATACTTAGTCCTACCCAGTCTAATGATTCTGCTTCCCAGGGACACCTTGGCTGAGCCAGGACAAAAGTGTGTTCACCAGTCCCTCAGTGGCGTAGTCCTAAAATTTCTAGTATGATAACGCTCTACATTGCCTTGTCACCTAATATATAGGATTTTTTGAAGAAGCAAGAGTGAGAACCATTGAGGCCGGGCACTACACCACTGTTGCTAAATGTTCTGAAACAGTATGCCTTGCCTACTGTGAAACTGAGAAAACCAGAAATGTAATACAGTAGAACCTCTTTAATCCGAACCCCCGTAATCCGAACGTCCACTAATCCGAACCCCTCATTGCTGTACTCTATACACAGTACAGCAGTTCTTTATTGTATACTGTATTTAATTTACAGTATGTTTTATTCACCATGTTTAACTACTGTATTAAATAAACACTGTATTTTACTTTATAAAACATTTTTTCACTTTCCCAAAAATAATGTTGATCAATTTTAGCCATGTTTTAGCTATTGTTATGTAAAAACAACAATATGTTCTGTAATCCGAACTATTCAATAGTCCGAACTACCCCTGGTCCCAATTAGTTCGGATTAAAGAGGTTCTACTGTATGTGGATTAAGATGAATGCTAAACAAGTGTAATATTAATTGTTAAATAAATAAATAAATAAATAAAAAGGCCTTTATTTACAAGCGAGTTTCATATACATGATTTTCAAACTTACTCAAGTCAAACTAAAACTAAACTAACCTAATATATACAGAAATATAATATACAAAATAACTACAAAAAAAAACATTTACAATTTAAAAATAATAGCATAAATAATATACATTTATTAATTTATTATTTAATTAATTATTAATTAATTTATTTATTTATTATATTAATTAATTAATTTAAAATTTTTTAAATTAATTTATTTGAATTTTAATTCATTAATTTTAATTAATTAATTAATTAAATTATTAATTATTATTTATTTTATTAATTATTTATTTATTATTTTTAAAAATAATTTACATTTGTTTTTCTGCATTGCGGCCCTGAATGATCCATACGATTTGGAGCTCTTTATGTCCTGAGGGAGGCCATTATACAACTGCGGGCCAAAATAAGAAAATGACTTTCTTCCAACCTCAAGCCTCACTTTAGGAAAGTGGAGCCTGCGGTCGGAACGAGTATCACGCAGGCAGATCTCCCCCCTGTACTTAAGCCTCTCCCAGCGTGAGCACTTTGTGGACCAGGCAGCAGGTCAGCCTCCTGCACATTTCATCCGTTGGGATGAGCTTTGCAGCATCTCGGAAGGAGGACACGTGGTCAAAGCGGTTAAGGCCAAAAATGAACCTTATAGCAGAATTTTGAATTCTTTGAACTCTTGCCATATCCTCCTTAGAGATGCTGTTTCTGTTTAGTTTTTATTAAAGGAGAATCATTTGACAAGTTTCTAGCTAACTTAAGGCATCGTGCAAAGATTTGTGATTTCAAAGATCAAGAGTCTAAACTAATGAAAGCACAGATAGCACTTGGAATTTTTTCCAGAGAAACCCAGGAACGTTTGTTAAGGGATGATGCACCAATAGACAAAATTATTGAATATTGCAAGAGTATTGAGCTTGCTGAAAATAATCTGAAGATTATAAATAAAGAAAACGACCGGGTTCCTTTTTTCAGTACTGACCAGATAAAGCAAAAATCATATAACATTTCCGAACACCAATGTAAGAAATGTGGAAGGAATCACGACTATAACCAGACCTGTCCTGCATTAGGCAAATTTTGTAATTGGTGCAAGAAGCCAAACCATTTCAGCAACGTCTGTTTGAAGAAATGTGCTCCAGCAACAAGGCAGAACAAAGACAAACCTCAACCTTTGTATAATATTGATGAAAAACAACAAGAGGCTGAAGAAAACGAGGCTGATTTGATTGACTCTGTACACTTGGTAAACGCCGTCAAACAAAAGGTATGGTTCAAAAACTTACTGATAGACAATACCTTACGTGTCAATTTCAAACTTGATACGGGTGCTGAGGTAAATGTAATACCTTATGATATCATTAAGAACTCTGGCTTATCATATAAACTAAGAAAAAGTAAGGTACGACTAGAAGCATATGGTGGCTTTAAGATAATACCTTTGGAAGAGATTACTGTTCAAGTAGAAACGAATGAGAAATTAGATATAATGGATTGTATTGTAGTAAAAGGCAGTTCCACACCTATCTTAGGGCTTGAAGCATGCACTAGATTAGGGTTGATACAAAGAATCGATGACCTAGGTAAAGTAAACTTGAATACGAGTGCTTGTAATGGCAAACAAAACTTATGTGATATTTACAAAGATGTATTTAGTGGTTTGGGCTGTTTTCCTGACCAATGTTCTATTAAGTTGACAAATAATGCGGTACCTCAAGCCAATTCAGCTAGGCGTATCCCATTGCAAATCACCAAAAAATTTAAAGACAAGCTTGATGATCTCATAAATAGAGGTATAATTGAACAAGTCAATGAGCCTGTAGAATGGGTGTCAAATGTAGTGATAGTTGAAAAACCTGATGGCTCATTGAGAATATGCATTGACCCACAAAATTTGAATAAGTACATCGTTAGAGAGAGATACACGATTCCCACTATTGATGAGTTATTTCCAAAATTGGGTAATAAACAATTTTATAGCATCTTAGATATAAAAGATGGCTTCTATCACATCAAACTAGACGAAAAATCTAGTCAACTTTGTAACTTCAGCACAATATATGGAACTTATAGATTTTTACGTTGCCCATTTGGTTTAAGTAATTTGCCTGAACTATTTCATAAGTGTGTAGCAAGATATTTTGAGGATATTCCAGGAGTAACGGTCTACTTTTAGTGCGTGGAACAAGCAACATATTACCTAGTTATCTTTCACTTCCGGAGACCAGCAACATACTTTGGGAATCGACTAAATACATGTAAAAGAGTGAAAATCAGCCGGGAGGCAAGCTTTAAAATAATTAGGTCACGGGCAGTGACGTCATCAAAATGGCCGCTCAGCCAATAATAATAATATCGCATATCTCGGAAACCACGTAACCGATTTTGACGTATGACATCTTATTTGAAAGGTCTAATCATTATCTATAAAAAAGGTTATTACACCTTTAGCGGTTAAACCAACGGTTTCTTTGTATTTTAGAAAATATTAATTTTTTACTCCCCACAAAATTGGTTTTTGCATTTATCATTTAGAAAAATTTAAATAATCAAAATTTTTCTTTTCACCGTTGAATCCAGCTTTAAAAGATGAACAATTTAGTATTTTGAATCATCACTCTATGTATATTGGTTACTGAGATATTGAAAGTAGGAAACTCAGAACACTCTGTCCCCCATGTTATTCTTATGGGAAAAATAACATTCTATATCTCAGTTATTTTTTAACGTATCTTAATACAACTTGGCATGTGGTTTAACCTAGTTGAGCTACTTGATAATGACTATAAAATATTTATATTTTACATTAACATGGCAGCAAACCTACATACTCATTTCCCATGTTATTCGTATCGCGAAGTTTTATGCATGATTATTTATGAACATGTGTTGACAAAACTTGACGTTGAGCTTAATTTTAATTAATTGAGTATGCAGGTCTACTGCAACGGGGTTTTTATAAATATTAGTAATTTTATTTTGTGAAATATTTTTTTCCTGGGTTGGTCAGACTGATAACCGACAAGAGATATGATGGCAATTTGTCGCATTTGTTGAATAAGAAACGTGATAAAATCCTTATTAACGTGTTGTTTTTGTTTCTTTTGAGTTTACATTTTTCTAGTAATTTTCATCTAGGGTTTGACGTCTTTTGTGCTTCTTAAAACATAGTTATTGATCGTTTAGTTTTTTAAAGTGGTTACCTGAAGAATATAATTTTCGTAGTAATTTTATTTTTGGGTAAACATCTTTTGGGCTTTTCAAAACATAGTTATGGATTGTTTTTTTGTGGCTACCCTACTTGAAGAATAGTATGCATTTCAGGCTTTGGACTGTGGATTCCTCACTTAAACATATTATTACATAGCATTAGACTGTTTATTTAATCTTTGTATTTAACTGAAGAATCGTATGAAATACGGCTTGCGTCTCTGTTATTTCCCTTTAACAAATAAAAAAATTGTATTATATATTTATTGTATATAATACGTGAAGCCGTTTTTGTTAACACTACTCCTCCCTTATTTGTGGGCAATTTTAACGTTTGAGGTGTCAAAAGATTCGTCTCAATTTCTAAGAAAAAAAACCACGCCTTGATATTATATGCTTGGATGAGAATCTCCCCCAGACAAATTCCGAAAATAATTCAGACGGAGGCACGAACTATTTCAAGACAAGATTAAGTTGCACTCCATTTGATATAAAATCCACCTGCAAAATACGAAAAACTTGTACACTCAGGGAATTTCAAATACTTCGATAATTAATTAAAATGACGCTTAACGTCAAGTTTTGACAGCATATGTTGTAATGGAGTGTTTAAGAAGGCCAAGGTTGGGTAATGTAAAACACCATGGGCTAAAACACCAAAGTACCGAGGCATGGTGCTTAGTGACCCGAGGGAAAAGTACTGAGGGAAAGTGAATAGGGAAAAGTGTCCAGTACTTTCGGCCGGGGGCGGATACTGGGTACTTACCCCCACTCTCCAAGCATCTTACGAGTTACGACCTCAATCTATTCTTGGGGGACTTCGACATGTTGGGCCTCCGGGCCCGACCCCGTCGGTAGGCGCCACCGGTGGGGTATGCACTAGAAGTGTGTTGAGCCCTGACACCCCAGTACTAGAGGCGTGCTGAGTCCTGACAACCTAGTACTAGAGGCGTGCTAAGACCCGGTACACCCCAGTACTAGAGGCGTGCTGAGCCCGATACACCTCGCACTAGATGCGTCTTGAGCCCGGTGCAACTGTTTGGCGTGTTGAGCCCCGGCATCCGGCCGTTTTATTTCAGTTTAAGTCCCCGGTGGCCAAAAAAGCTGCCACCCGGGACCATGGATCCGTCTGGAGGGGGATGAAGAGGCCCACCTCCACTATTTAAGAAGAGAAAGAGTTGTCTGGGAGAGACGGCAGTCTGCATCTGCCAACGGAACGGGCAACACCGACGGTAGCTGCTGCGTTTGGGATAGTAACCCACTCAGCATTTTCCGAGACGGAGCCAGTTGGAGGACTGCAGGAGCCGTGTCGATAGGACTTCTGTGAGTCGCTACGACGGGACAGCGTCAGGAAGGAGAACCAACGTGGGGAACCCAGGACAGCAAAACGGGACAGAGGGGTCTTGAGCCGATCGACCAAGACGTCAAGGGACCGCCTAATAGATTGCCCTGGTCTATGGGGTTTTGAAGTAGAAGTCATTTGTCAATAGTTTTTGTAAACAGTTCTGAGAATAATAAATGTATCATAATTCCTACAAGTGTTCTGTCAATTTGAGTCCTGAAAACTCCCGAAAAGGTCTAAAGCTGTAAAGTAAGGAAAAGCTGAGAAAGTACAGTACAATGTTCATAAATAATCATGCATAAATATTCGCCATATGAATGACATGGGAAATGAGTATGTAGGTTTGCTGCCATGTAAATGCAAAATATAAATATTTTATAGTCATTATCAAGTAGCTCAACTAGGTTAAACCACATACCAAGTTGTATTAAGATACGTTAAAAAATAACTGAGATATAGAATGTTATTTTTCCCATAAGGATAACATGGGGGACAGAGTGTTCTGTGTCTCATACTTTTAATATCTCAGTAACCAATATACATAGAGTGATGATTCAAAATACTAAATTGTTCATCTTTTAAAGCTGGATTCAACGGTGGAAAGTAAATTTTGATTATTTAAATTTTTCCAAATGATAAATGCAAAAACCCATTTTGTGGGGAGTAAAAAATTAATATTTTCTAAAATACAAAGAAACCGTTGGTTTAACCGCTAAAGGTGTAATAACCTTTTTTATAGATAATGATTAGACCTTTCAAATAAGATGTCATACGTCAAAATCGGTTACGTGGTTTCCGAGATATGCGATATTATTATTATTGGCTGAGCGGCCATTTTGATGACGTCACTGCCCGTGACCTAATTATTTTAAAGCTTGCCTCCCGGCTGATTTTCACTCTTTTACATGTATTTAGTCGATTCCCAAAGTATGGTGCTGGTCTCCGGAAGTGAAAGATTTTTACACTTGTTCCACGCACTATTTGATGATTTATGCATAGCTTCTAACTCTAAAGAAGAAAATGATGAAATACTCAAGAAAGTCCTAGAGCGGGCCAGAAGTCTGAATATTAAATTCAATATAAACAAGTTCCAATACTGTCTACCTGAAATTAAATATTTAGGTGTTATTTTTAGCAAAAATGGTATGCGTCCCGATCCAGAGAAAGTTGAAGTTATAAAAGCTCTAAAGAACCCTTCTAATAAGAAAGAACTGCAAAGTTTATTGGGTATGGTAAACTTCCTTCGATCTTTCATCCCTAACTTATCACAAATAACTTCGCCACTTAGGGAGCTCCTAAAGAAGAATGTTCATTGGCAGTGGACTGTTCTACACTCAAGAGCTATCGATAATATTAAAAAACTAATCTCTAGTGACCAGATTATTGCTCCCTTTGATATGACAGCTCCTATAATCATACAGTGTGATGCGTCTCAAGATGCTCTTGGGTGCTGTTTGCTACAAAACAACAAACCTGTTTACATGGCGTCTAGGTCTCTTAACTCAGCTGAGGTCGGTTATGCCCAAGTTGAGAAGGAATTGCTAGCAGTATATTTCTCCTGTTCAAAACTACACGCTTATGTATACGGACATGAAGACATCACTATTCAATCTGATCATATGCCCCTTGTGTCACTAATGCAAAAACCTATCAATAAAATACAGAATAATAGATTAAAAAGACTTAGGCTAAAGTTATTGCCCTACAATTTCAAAATACAGTACTTGGCTGGAAAGTACATGTATATAGCTGATTTCTTGTCACGATGTGGCGTAAAAACAAATGAGCCAGTTGACCTCACCATGCTAGATATGGTACACTGTGTAACCGAAACAGGAATTGTAAATTTTTCAGATGAACGACTTGAAGAGTTCAAAAAAGAAACTGCAAGTGATGACGTTTTGGGACAAGTTGTGAAGTATTATGTAAATGGATGGCCTACATCATTGCCTTGTGGTGGAGATCTGGCACATTATTTTAATATCAGATCTGACATTGAGTTGAATGATGGCTTACTGTATTTCAAAAACCGTATAATAATTCCGAAGAAACTGAGACCCATAATTATCAACCGACTGCATGAGACACATCTTGAGGAAAGGAAAATGAATTCAATTGTCTCAAATTTCTATTACTGGCCCGGAGTAAGAGCAGTTTTTAAGAACATTGTTGACAGATGTAATATTTGTCAGAAATATAGAAGATCAAACATCAAAGATTCACTCATTTGCCACGAGATACCTAATGTTCCTTTCTTGAAAGTTTCCGCAGACATTGCTGAATGTGCTGGGAAGATATACTTGATACTTGTTGACTTCTACTCTAGATGGTTAGAGGTGGTCAAAATGAATAGTAAAAACAGTTCATCCGTGAAGAATGCATTAGTCCAAATATTTTGAAGATTTGGGATTCCACAGATTATGATAGCTGACAACATGCCTTTTGATTCTTACGAACTAAGAGAGTTTGCAAAGGAGTGGAATTTTAAAATACAAACTACAAGTCCTAACTATCCTCAAGCCAATGGCTTAGCAGAAAAAGCTGTAGGTATTGCTAAAAAACTTATAAAAACGTCCTCAGAATCAGGATCAGATCTAAATTTGAGCCTACTCAACTACAGAAACAGTGTTGTTGCAGGACTTGATTATTCTCCAGCTCAGTTACTAATGGGGAGGGTATTAAGATCAAAATTACCTCTTCCAAATGACAGATTAGAGCCAAAGATAATTCATCAAGATGTAGCAGATCAAATGCAGACAAAAAGAATCAATCAAAAATCATATTATGATAAGACGACAAAACAAGAAACAGTATATAATGAAAAGGATCCCATTTATGTACAAGATGTTCGGACCAAGATCTGGGAGCCAGCTATCATAGTAAAAGTTGGTGAAACTCCAAGATCATACGTAGTGCAATATAAAAATGGAAAACAATTCAGAAGAAACTCATTTTTCATCAGAAAAAGAAAAATTGAATTTGTCAAAGGGGAAGATGTTTAGATATTTAATATTCTATGCTTTTAAAATAACATATGATTCTTCAGGTTTAACTTACATCTGTTTACAAATAAGTTGTTGTTATGTTTTTGAGAATAGAAACTTTTACTGTTACTAAAAAATGTCTCCTTTATTTAAAACTAATTAATAAAAACTAAACAGTTTCCATATGCAGGAAAGCAATATGTAAAGGCTGGGAGGACCAAGGACCGCATGAGTTGCATTTTGGCATGTTCTAGCAGTAGAGTTTTAAATCTGCTAAGACCTCTCAGTCTACCCACTGCGCGTTGAACTCCAGATGTGACATGGTTAGAAAAAGAGAGGTCTTTGTCAAGTACAACACCAAGCGTGTTGACAGTGTCACAAACAGACAATCTCATGCTATCAAGGGTGACTTCTATAGCAGATTTACTCAATTCCTGAACCATAATGTTTGGTCCAGTATGCATGACTACACACTTGTCAACATTCAATCCAAGGCCATTCATGACAGACCATTGAAAAATGCTGTGCAAATCAGCATTGATGAGCCGGATTGCTTCTGATGTCTTGTCTGGCTTGTATGACAAGTGTAGTTGGCAGTCATCAGCATACAAGTGTGCTGTGCAATATTCTACACTTCTGGACAAGTCAGACGTGTACAAATTGAACAGCACAGGTCCTAAACAACTACCTTGAGGAACATCACGCAATTTGCAAAGCGGATCTGATGTCCCACTCCCAATTTTGGTAACCTGCAGTCGGGACTCCAAATAGGACCGAAACCAACAAACAACTTTTTCACTGCAGCCATAGCACTTCATTTTGGCCAATAACAATCCATGATCAATAGAGTCAAATGCTTGGGAATAATCTAGAATAGCTAATGTGCTGTTATGACGAAATTTCGGGTTGAGAGACAAAATTAGATTTTAAAGTACGTAATTGTCGTCTCACCTGAAATTCTGTCACACCTTAAATTTGTCCAGATAGCTTAGCCTACAATGAGATAGTCCAGGGCTCTAACGTGTTTGTTAATTAATTATCGTTTCGAGTTTATTGGCTCAGAATATTAAATACAACAATAATACTTACAATGTTAAGCTTACCTTTAACAAGTGCTCATCATAGCCACTCGAAAAATATGTGAAGTTAAATTTAGAATTTTGAATAACCTACGATGAATGCGAATAACCTAATTAATTAGAAACTTAACTAAAACGTGATTCGGTCGTTATACTTGGTAATCACCAAAGTAAACGTGTCGGGAGAATTAAACTCGGTCGATCACCAGAGTTGATGCGGTGCTTCTTAAAACAAATTTGCGTAGGACGGCTCGGGGTAACGGAATAATCCCCACGGATATTACTCGGGTGAATTAAATAAATTTCGTGCCAGGGGTGATATCCTTTGTTTTCTGTTTATTGTGTATATGAATAGTGGTGTTGTAGATGATGTTTGATTCGAATGATAATTGTTCATTTAATATATTCTGTGGTTGTTCTTTTGACGCCTTGTAGATTTCAAACTCCACAACTGTATCCATGTATCGTCCTTTATTGCAGAGTTGTACTATTTCTAAATTATTGTCAATATTTGTGTAATTATGGTTGGACGAAATTAAGTGGTTTGCATACGCTAATTTGGAATTTTTCTTTGGCATATGTCAAGAACCTAATGAAATCTTGATGTTTGGCCTATGTAAAAATTGGGACAATCGTCACATTTTAGTTTGTAAATTCCTGTTTTGTATATTGTATTAGTTCTAGACGGTTGTCGTTCTTTGACGATGGTAGACAGTTTATTGTTAGTTTTGAAAGATACGACCACATCATTCTTAGCCAATTCTTTAGTCAAGGTGTGGTTCAGTATGACACCGTTGTTATGTATCAAGAAATAAGTCCATATGTTTTATTTATAACATCTGTCAGATGACTGTTTATATTATTATGTTTTGTTTACTTTTTAGTTTAGTCTGATTTGTGGGTTCAATAAATTCAGTTGTGTTAATTATGTTTCAATTTACTAAACTGGCGACGAGGATAATTGGATAATGGATCTCAATAACAGGGTGTATACTATTTTATTAAAGTGAAATTCCAGGGTTTTTCCAGGTTTTTCCTGGTTTTTCGAAGTTTTTCCAGGTTCCCGCGTACAGTATTTGTTTGGTTCCACTTAAACTTTAATCAATTTAAGACTTGCAGCTTAAGTATACAATATAAACTTGCATCAAATTTGTTTCAAAGTCCAGTGAGCTAGTGTTGAAAAAGTAATAATCCTTATTATAGTAATAATTTTCATTATCATCATTACTTAAGTCCACGGAAACATCGTCTCTCTCGATAGCAGCAAAATCATGAATATTATCTTCATTTTTTATAAACACATTATCAACGGCGGCAAAATCCTGAATATTTCCTGCGGTCGTGTGGTCGCTTCCCACGGTGACGTAAACGTCATCAGTCTTACGTTATCGTAGAAAAGTCCTGGACATCTCCCGCGGTATGTATACATTATCGCCGTCTCTCGCGATCACGGAAACGTAATCATCGTCATCCACGATCGCGGCAAAATCACGAAAATCTTCCGCGGCCATGTGGACATCATCATTGACTCCCACGGTCACGTAAACGTCATCGTCATCGACCGCGATCACGGCAAAATAACGAAAATGTTCCGAGGCCGTGGAGACACCATCATTGACTCCCGCGGTCACAGGAACGTCATCGTTGTCGTGCGCGATCTCGGCAAAATCATGAATATTTCCCGCGGCAGTGTAAACACCATCGTTGATCCCGCGGTCACGGAAACGTCATCGTCGTCGTCCGCGATCGCGGCTAAATCATGAACATCTGCGGCCGTGTAGAAATAATCATTGTCGTCTTTCGCGGTCACGGCAAATCACGAATATCTTCCGCGGCCGTGTAGACATCATCATTGCTTCCCGCAGTCACGGAAACATCATCGTCATCGTCCGCGGTCTCGGTAAAATCATGAATATTTCCCGCGGCCGTCTCTACATCATCGTCATCTCCCGCTGTCACGGAAACGTCATCATCGTCGTCCACGATCTCGGCAAAATAATTAATATTTCCCGTGGCAGTGTAAACATCATCGTTGATCTCGCGGTCACGGAAACGTCATCGTCGTTTCCCGCGGTCACGGAAACGTCATCGTCGTCGGCCGCAATCACGGCAAAATCATGAGCATATCACGCGGCCGTGTAGAAATCATCATCGTCGTCTTTCACGGTCACGGCAAATCACGAAAATCTTCCGCGGCCGTGTAGACATCATCATTGCCTCTCGCAGATATGGAAACGTCATCGCCGTCGTCCGCGATCTCGGGAAATCATAAACATCTGCGGCCGTGTAGACATAATCATCGTCGTCTTCCGCGGTCACGGAAACGTCATCGTCTTCGTCCGCGATCTCGGCAAAATCATGAATATTTCCCGTGGCAGTGTATACATCATCGTTGATCCCGCGGTCACGTAAACGTCATCGTCGTCTCCCACGGTCACGGAAACGTCATCGTCGTCTCCCGCGGTCACGGAAACGTCATTGTCGTCTCCCGCGGTCACGGAAACGTCATCGTCGTAGGTCGCAATCACGGCAAAATCATGAGCATTTCCCGCGGCCGTGTAGAAATCATCATCGTCATCTTCCGCGGTCACGGCAAATCATGAAAATCTTCCACGGCCGTGTAGACATCATCATTGACTCCAGCGGTTAGGGAAACGTAATCGTCGAAGTACGCGATCGTGGTAAAATCATGAATATTTACCGCAGCCATGTAAACATCATCGTTGTCGTCCGCAATCGCGGCAGATCATGTACATTTCCCGCGGACGTGTAGATGTCATTGTCGTAGCCTGCGATCACTGAAACGTCATCGTCGTCTCCCGCGGTCACGAAAACGTCATCGTCGTCGCCCGCAATCGCGGCAAGACGCATTTTACGACAACAAGCTTCTACCGGGGCTAAAATAAAAATCCCGGAATCGGTCCAAAAATCCCGGCTTTTTCCCGGTTTTTTCCAGGTCCCTTCAAATTCAAGGTTATTTCCCGGTTCTCCCGGTTGGTATACACCCTGAATAAGCCTGATCGTTTTGACCCCCATACAAATCCTGCAAGTGTCGCACAGCGTTGGGGTACATGGATTAAGCAATTTGAGAGGTATGCTTTAGCTGCAGACATTACCATTGATGTAAGGAAAACTGCACTAGTACTTAATCTAGCTGGTGAGGAAGTGGCTTACATTTTTGACAGTTTACCACAACCTAATGAAATAACGTACAAAAATGTTATAAAACTATTAACTGACTATTTCGCTCCTACCAAAAATGTCCTTTTTGAAATATTTAATTTTAGGAAGTGTCATCAAGCAGAATCAGAGTCGTTTAACTCTTTCTATTCTCGACTAAGAACATTAGCTGTGAACTGTGAATTCAAAGACTTGGATAGGGAATTAATTATGCAAATTTTGATTGGATCTAGAAGTGATGAGTTAAGGAATAAAATTTTGAAAGAACCTAACTATTAAACTTCAGGATGTTGTTATTGCAGCTAAGTCAAATGAATTATTTCAAACTCAAAGTAAGGAACTTTCTTTCAGTAGCTCAAGTTTTGCTAATGCACATAAAATTGACCATTCAAACAGGAAATTTGTTGCATTTAACAACAATCCAGCTCACTCTGTTACACCTAATGTTTGTCTTGGTTGTGGACTAAGACATTTTAGAAGGGATTGTCCCCATCTTCAGACTACTTGTAATATTTGTAAGAAAATTGGGCATCTAGCACGAGTTTGTAAAGGAGGGAAACCACGCCCCAAAGAATATTTTAGCCAAAAACACGGATCAAAGGGACAGCGGGCTCATGAAGTTTTGTCAGTGGAAACCAATTATGAACAAGAAGAAACGTTTCCACCTCAATCAAATAACGAAACAACTCAATACGTCCAGGAAGTTAACTGCACTAAAGTACCGGAACTGTATACAACTGTCAACATAAATAATCACAAAGTTCTAATGGAAGTTGATACTGGTACAGGTGTTTCTATCATAGGAGGAGAACTATGGAATACAATTTCTCATAAAAACTGTAAACTGCAACCTTCTCCTTGGAAACTCAAGGATTATAGTGGTAAACCTGTAAGTGTTTTAGGTCAGACTAATGTTTATGTGAAATACGGTAAGTTCAATGGTTTCCTTCCGTTAGTCATAACTGAAGGTAATAGAAATAGTTTATTGGGGCGTAATTGGCTAAAAAGTCTTAACATTGAAGTAAACAGAGTACTTTCAATCAACTGTCATGAATCTGAAGTTCTTAGTAAAGCTCAGCTGGATGTTCAACATCTGAAAAGTGAATTTTCCGATGTATTTTCAAATTCTTTAGGGTGCTATAATTAAAGGACCTCCAATCGAACTGAAAATTTACCAGAATTATAACCCAATTCACTTAAGAGCGCGCCCTTTACCTTATGCATTGCAGGCCCCAGTAGAAGAAGAGCTGAATAAGTTAGTTAATCAGGAACCAATGTTAATGTTAATGTTAATGTAGTTAATGTTAGAACCTGTTCAGGTATCGGATTGGGCCACACCAATTGTTGTTTCCGTAAAAGCAATGGTAAAATACGAATTTGCGGTGATTATAAGGCAACGTTAAACAAAGCTATCCAAGATCATCTGTACCCTATTCCACCAATCTCTCAGCTCTTAGCAAACTTCAACCAAGGGAAATATTTTGCTAAGTTAGATTTAGCCCAAGCTTATCAACAACTGGTTATTGACGAGAAGTCGGCACTAGCTCAGACACTAATTACACACAAGGGTGCTTTTAAACCAAAAAGACTACAATTCGGTATTAGCTCAGCTCCATCTATATTTCAACATTTTATTGAGGGTTTGCTTTCGGGCTTGGACAATGTAATCCCTTACTTTGATGATATTTTGGTTAAAGCAGGATCAATACACGAATTGATTACCACATTAAGACAAGTATTCACTCGTTTTAGAGATGCAGGGATTACACTCCAAAGCGAAAAGTGTTCTTTGTTATCTACATCAGTTGACTTCTTGGGATTTGTTGTGAGCTCTGACGGAATTCGTCCTAACCCGGACAAAGTCAAATCCATTCAAGATGCTCCTGAGCCGACTAACAAGGAACAACTGCAGGCATTTTTAGGTTTACTTAATTTCTATCACTGTTTTTTACCCAACAAAGCCAATGTTGCAGAACCTTTACATCGCTTATTGGACAAAAATGTTAAATGGCGGTGGGAGGAAAAACATAAAATTGCTTTCAATGCTTCAAAGAAGCTCCTTTCTTCCGATAGTATACTGGCTCATTACAATCCCTCCAGCCATCTTATACTAACTTGTGATGCATCTCCTTATGGTATTGGTTGTGTGCTTAGTCAGGTTCGAGGGGAAAAGGAAGTTCCAATTGCGTTTTATTCCAGGACAATGAGTCAGTCAGAACGAAGATATGCTCAAGTAGATAGGGAAGCACTTTCCATTATTGGAGGGGTTAAAAAATTCCACAATTACTTATATGGGAGGCATTTTGAAATTAGAACAGATCATAAGCCACTTCTGGGTCTTTTCACTGTGGATAAACAAACACCAAACACACTGTCACCTCAAATGATTCGCTGGAGTATCCTTTTAAATGGATATGACTTTGATCTTGTATACAAACCGGGGATTTCTATTCCGAATGCTGATGGTTTGAGTCGTCTTCCATGTTCCTCCAATGTTGTTGATCAAGAGATAAATGAAGGATCTTGAATGACGTGCTATACATTGAATCCGATGAGGTTAAACCAATTACCGCTAATATAATAGCAAAAGAAACAGAAAAGGATCCACTTCTATCTAAAGTACTATTATGGACTCAACGTGGTTGGCCAACTCATAACTCAGATCTCAACTTTACGCCTTTCATTTCTCGTAAAAATTCAATTTCTCAATACAAACAATGTTTACTTTGGGGAACTAGGGTGATCATTCCATCCACTCTCAGGCAACAAGCTCTGAAGCTTCTACACATGGGACATGAGGGCATTGTTCGAACAAAGGCGTTGGCTCGAAGCTATTTCTGGTGGCCAAAACTTGATCAAGACATAGAAAACATAGTGAATTCTTGTCAAGCATGTCAACAAAGTCGTCACAACCCTCCAAGAGCAACAGTTCTTCCCTGGGAGAAAACGAAACAACCCTGGTCTCGTCTCCACATAGATTTCGCTGGGCCCTTCCAAAACAAGTTGTTTTTGATTGTTGTCGATTCTTTCAGCAAATGGTTAGAAGTAGTTTTGGTGCCTTCTACAGATTCAAGATCAACTATAAAGGTCCTCAGAAGCCTTTTCGCAACACATGGTGTTCCAGACACAATAGTATCTGATAACGGGTCGGCTTTCACTTCACAAGAATTTCGATCGTTTAATGAAAGCAATGGCATCCGCCACGTCGTGGTTGCACCATACCATCCGTCATCGAATGGTCAGGCAGAAAGGATGGTCCAAACGACAAAAAATTCTTTGCGACGAATACTTCAAGGAGATTGGCAAAAAAGATTGGCTCAGTTCCTAATATCATCTCATATAACGCCAAATCGTTCTACTAATATGTCACCGAGTGAACTGCTGTTCGGAAGGCGTATTAGAACCATCTTAGACAGAGTTCACCCAGATTATTCTTCAAGTGACAAAGAAGAGAAAATCTTGGATAAAGCGCTTCACGATTACCAACAGTCACCTCAGAGGAAATTTAAAGAAAATGACTCCGTATTTGCAAGAAACTATAATCAGCGAGGACCAAAGTGGATTCCTGCTAAAGTCACTAGAATAACCGGGCCGCTGAGCTACCATTTGATAACAAAAGAAGGCATTGAAATACGACGTCATATTGACCAATTGAGACCTCGCTCAGAAACATCAAAAGCATCTACTAACTCACACTTGGATAATCCTGAATCTCCAGTAAACCCACCATTCCACCCACTACTCCAGAATCCTATTCAAATGAGAACACCAGAAGCACATCATATCACTCCAGTGCAAACACCATCAATGGTTTGCAATCCTATTATGATGAGAACACCAGACGTACAACCAATGCGACCATCAGTGATGCAACAATCTCGCAATTCCTTTAGTGGTATAGAAGGTTCAATTAACCCTCATCAAGAAGATGCTGGTTTCAACGTTTCTGGTTTAATTCAAGACTCCACTAGCATGAGCACGAGTCCACAACCTGTTCGGTCACGTGTCTCTAGATCAAACTCCCAAAACACTTCAATGAGCATGAGTCCTCGACCTGTTCGTATCCGTCAACCACCGGCATATCTGAAGGACTACCTAACGGGGGGAGGAGTGTTATGTATCAAGAAATAAGTCCATATGTTTTATTTATAACATCTGTCAGATGACTATTTATATTATTATGTTTTGTTTACTTTTTAGTTTAGTCTGATTTGTGAGTTCAATAAATTCAGTTGTGTTAATTATGTTTCAATTTACTAAAACCGTAGTTCGCACTTACGTATATTTTACTCTTATCTTGTGGCTTATTATCAATTCTATTGAATTTTTTTTATCAGTTTGTCGATCAGGGAACTATTATAGCCATTGGCGACTGCTATATGTTTTAACGTATTTACTTTGTCGTTGTAATCTGTTCCACTCATTGGGATGGAGAGTAAGCGGTGGACAAAACTATTGTATGCAGCTGTTTTATGGTTATGTGGATGATGTGATAATGAATGAATCGTCTGATCTGTGGTGGTTGGTTTTCTGTAGATTTTAAATTGCAATTGGCTGTTGTATCTGGTAATGGTGACGTCTAGGAAATTAATGGATTTATTTTCTTCAATTTCAAGGGTAAACTGTAGGTTTTTGTGGAATCTATTCAAGTATGCTTGGAGTAAGCTGATTTGTCTCTCGTTGCCATTGAAAAGTATGAGGGTGTCATCTACATATCTGCTATAGCGGATTATTTTATTGAGGTGTCGGTTGGAATCAGACCAAAGGTGTTCATTTTCTACATGGTTCAGGAATATTATTAAACTTTTGACGAACTCCACTGCGAGGAATATGAAGACTACTTGACATTCTTCTGACCTGATGATGTGCTCCATTCGAAGCATGAAACAGCTGTAGTCTTACTAACTACAAAGGATCGTTTTGACAGTAACAAGGTAATTTAAACCACTATATAGTTAATTCAGACGATCCAGAGGCCATTCCACCATGGGATATATTTTGATGAAACTTGGCAAATTTATTTATTTTATACAAAGCTGTTAATATTTTGGTAAAAACACACTTTATTACCCTCCCTGTAGCAGCATACCTACACGTAGGTAGTTTTAGGTACTTGTTAAACCTAAAGCTATTTAAATAAATTTAATTTAAAGCCCTATTTGGTTATTGTAAATTCGCTTAGTCTGCAGGTTTTCTGTGGCGGGTTATTGATATACTGTATTTGTTTTCTTATACTCCAAATAATCTAGGTACTCAATTTTGATGTAACTAGCACTTGGTCAATGACACGGAACTGAGCTCAATCACAACGCAATTAAAAGAAAACGATTATGACTGTGAGCTATTTGCAGTATTTTTTATGTTTTGTTTACTATCTCTTCACTCTTTCGTAGGTATGTATGCGGTTGCTAATTTTTTCCTAGCTAATAAAATATTTATAATTAAGGTACGGATGCTTATAACCAAACTCTCAGTTGAAAGAAATTCTATTTATGGTCCATATTTTTATTGCAGTTAACAGTAAAAAAAAACCACATAATATTTCAACAAATTTAGCTTCCTGCAAGATTTTTGTTTTATTTTGAACAACAGAAACCTAAAAAAAAATTTATCAAATATACTTTGAGAGTAATGAAATTGTTCGGAATTTAATAACAAATTCCAATACAACATTCTTTTAGTTAATATGTAAACAATTAACTTGCTAATGAGGTAATACCGGCATGATGTTGACTTAGACCTGCCCCCTGGCAGGACTAAAGTTGGGGACTAAACTCACTAATTTTTATGACGAAAATATATCTCTTAGTCCCGAAATTGGTCTCCCAAACCCACAGAGTCTATCTCTTAGGCTTGTGCCTAAGTCTACTTGACTCCCAAACCAACAATATTTAGGCGCAAGATTATCCCTGCCAAGTTAGGCGCGCGCCTAACTGATCCCGAGCTCCCAAACCCGTTTTCTAGGCGACAGCTTAAATACCAGAAATATCCGGTTCTTAATCGCAGACTAGCACTAATACCGAGCTCCCAAACCGCCTCTTTGTCTGCAATAATTGAAGCATTGAATTGCAAACTGGGTAAGAGGGGAGGGTCTATGACATTGAGTGGGCCTGAGCCTGGCTGGTGACAGTGATTTATTTTTTATTGGTATGTTTACATCCTAACTACCCTTCCTACCCAGAAAGAGACACTATGTGGTTTAAAAACATTGACTTGTTTTTCCTGGAACGTGCCCCAGTTGAGTGTACATGATTTAAGCTTTCTTAGTTGTTAGTGATAGTTAAGTAATAGTTTTAATAAGTTATTAAGGCAATGTGACTATGTTTAATTATTAATAACACAATTAGTTACCAAGATGTGGCATTATTTCATTTCATATGAAATCCTTTAAAACAACTGTCCAACAAACAGCAAACGTCTCCAAAAACTAATTTTATTTTCTATCAGTTAGTTTTTAACTAACTAATAACTTCTATCAGTTACTATTTGAGTAACTAACTAATAACTTCTATCAGTTACTTTTTACAGGACTAACTAATAACTTCTAACTAGAGAGAATTTAATTTATGACTAACTTCCTAACTATGGCATGAATTATCTACATAGGTTCTGGTTTGCTATTTCCTAATTTATTTCCAGTTCAATTTATTTTAGGTAATGTTGAACAAACGTCAAACAAGGATATTTGCCATTGCCGAATGTAACAAGTCAGCTAAGAGCCAATCAAAACCAAGCTACAGTAGACTCCCTCTTATCCGGACTCCTCGGGACTGAGGCCAGTCCGGATAACGGGTTTTCCGGTTAAACCAATGTACCCAAAAACTCTTCAACTTAAATTTAGGAGAGTATTGTATTTATTTAGACACCTGATCAAATCTTTCCCACGAGAACAGTCGTTTCAGTACTGCCCACTTCCTGCCGATCTAGTCCGGTTAGACCAATGTGCTGATGAAAGTTGTTTGGTTAAAAAGATGTAATTTCCACTGAGTGTAGTCCGGTAAAAAAAAAATTGTCCGGATAAGAGGGAGTCTACTGTATTATTCTTATCTCCTGATTTAACCCATAGATCGCCACTTAAACCATCCTCACCCATGAGGGTTAACTTAAACCTAGTTCAAACAGAGAAATTATTTTGGGGAAAGTGAATCCGAGGTTAAACTTTTTAAACAATTTTAAACCACAATCAGAGTTAAACTAGATTTGGGGGGGCCCTTAGAAACACATTTCATTGTCAAGTAGCATTAATAAGGTAGACTTAATTTTTTATTACCATGTAGCAGTTTATTCCAAGATTATACACTAAATTCACAACACTGTACAGTTCAAACAAAAGTAAAAATGTACATATTACTTAGGATAATTTTTAGATCTGTCTTTCTGAAAAGATTTAAAATTCCAGAATTTTTTCAGGGCCAGTATCTTACAATATATTATTAACATAATTGCATTATCCTAAATTGAAGAAGGATTAATAAAGAAGGCTTGATAATTATATTAACTTGTATCAGTTTATTTGTTTATGCACTATATTTACAACAATGTACAGTTGAAATACAAGTACAAAATGTACACATCTATACATACTTAATTAATTTGGAAGAGTTTTTTTGTGAACAGAACCTTTAATTTACTTCACTAAAATGTTAACTGACTGTATAAGCACTCAATTGGAAGAAATATTAACAAATTATGATAACTTATAGAAGTCATAGTAGGCCATAGATAAGAAGAAATGGAGCTTTCCACCATTTTACAACTTAACTTTGTAACTATATGAGACATTTGAATTTGATGAACAATGAAGATCACAACATTGATTCGTACAAACAAGGAACAAGAATGAATTTTCTTTGAGATAGTTGCAGAGAAAAAAACCATGATTCTATTTAATATTTAATTTGTGTTTTTATAAAGGCAATGGGGTCGGCTTAAAATTAAGCTTTTTAAAATGACACCAAAATCGTCTGCTTTGGTAAAAAGCTATCATTAATTTTGTATATATTTTAAATTATAATTCTCTTAATGAAATAAGTCAAATAAATCTGTGGGATATCCATGTAAATAAAGCACTAAAAACCATAATTGCAAATAAAAATATTATCCAACTAGATCTTAATATTTTTAAAAGTGCCTATTTAATATTGCTTGATTCCGAGCAACAGGTTACCAAGTTACCTTAAGAACACAAACTCGTTTAACAACTAATCATGTTTTTTTTTTTCAAAATGTAATCAAAACAGACAATTTTTTTAGAATATAAATTTGAGCTCATGGTGTTTTTGGACTCTGGTGACATCAAAATAAAAACAAAGAAAAAATAAATTGTTTGTGCGTCTAAGGCTCTATGTTAGCGGCCTACACACTATACGTGCATTGCACACCGTGCCATTTTTTTTATTATACGTTGTTGCCCACACACTTGATCTTTAGTGTAGCCTGCAATGTGCTAAATTACATCGTCAGTTCGTACAAATTAAATGCAGATCACACAAATGCATTGCATGTTTTAAGGATATAATTAATTAATCATTAAAAATAGAAACTAGACAGCACTAAGCCGCCTTAGGTTAGTACAGACCTTGCACCTCGCTGCCGTACAGATATACGCCGTCAGGGCACTTGGTTCACAATACTGTGGTGGAGGATGATGCTCTATTACTATTGTATATTATATAGAGATCAATGACTGCGTCTCGGCTTACTTATCGCATACGGCGCGCGATCCATTGTGTTATAATCTCAATGGTCGTGCCAAAAACAAAATGCCGTCGATTCACTAATAAAAAAGGACTATATGGACAAACCCTGTCAAAAGTGGTTGTACTAGCACGTGGCACGGGACTGCCTATACACTAGCACGTCAGAACGGCGTGCTTTGGCACGGCACGCCAGAAATCAAACTCGTTTTGATTTACACCGTGCCATTGCACACTTGCACGTTTTGTCTGTTTTTGGCACGACGTGCTTGCACGGCGTCACAGAAAACGTACTACTATAACCCAGAATGCCAACCGCATGGTAAAATGCATTAAGTGTTTTGAGAGAGCTTTGCCTGTCAATCCGTAGGCAGCACCACCACCGTTGCTATGCATGGCAACGCTGGTGGCGCTGCCTACGGATTGACAGGCAAAGCTCTCTGAAAATGCTTAATGCTTTTTACCATGCGGTTGGCATTCTGGGTTATAGTAGTACGTTTTCTGTGACGGCGTGCAATGCACATGTAGTGTGTGGGCCACTTTAAATACAATTTGGATATATGTACTTTTTAAATTCTTTACAATCATTAACTGTGCAGGAAACTTAGGTCTGATGTATGAATTGATAACTCCTATTACCTTTGAGACTTCTTTTACATGTACACAATATTGTTTTATTTATTACTTAAGGTTATGTTTAACAAACTAAGAACTAATTTTTTAACTCATCAAATAATCCTTTCAAACCTGATAAAAATTCACTGTTGGCTTTAGTCATGGCTTCAGATTGAGCTTCAATAAGTCTTTCTTCCCACCTCCGTTGCTCCATTTTTTCTTTCTCCTTTTCCAGCCTGTCTTGCTCACGCTCCTTTTCTGCCACTCTAATCATCATCAATTCCCATTCTTTTGTGAAATTCTTCAGAGCATTTGAGTATGTTCCTTCATTCGATTTTCTAAATCTTCCAGGTGGATTACTGACTAATGAAACAAAATTCAATAGTGTTAAATTATTTTTAGATGACAATTTTACACTATTTACATTTTCCATTATATTGAAAGCCTGTATATGTACACTATCTCTGTCCATATCCAGGGATCCCAACGGACACAACGTCAGGAAAAGACAGGGATTTTTTTAAATAAAGGACACACACCTAAACACATTCTGATTCTGATTCTTCTCACATTCCTACAGGTAGAATAAAAACTCATACATCACATATAAAAACCATACAATCTACTTACAGGCAGAAAAGACACCAATATGTATCACATTCATACAGGGAGTAGAAACATCTAAACTTCACACATTGAAGCCACACAACCTACAAAGGTCTCCAAGAAAGAGTCTTATCCAGATAAATACCAAGAAATTTAACATTGTCTACATAGCCATCTAACATATTTTATTTGCGCAGTCTAAGGACAAAAACTATTTTTTTTAGTTTTATCTTTATTTAAGAGGAAGCCATTAGATTAAAACCAGATAGAGGCTTCATTAATCGAGTTTTGAGCTAACTCTTGAAGTTGTTTAAGATCGGGATTAATATTTTAAAAAGTTGTGTCATCTGCATACAAATAAGTTTTACTAGTTATACATTCTGGGAGGTCGTTAATACAAATTAAAAATAACAGAGGACCTATAACAGACCCCTGAGGCATGCCATATTTTATTTTTAATTCTTGGGACCATTCTCCATCAATATTGACTTTTTGTGTTCTATTGTTTAAGTATGATTTGAAAAAAGAAAGTGGAGTTCCGCGATACCGTAATAACTTAATTTCATTATTAGGTCATCATGGTCCACGCAATCAAAAGCATTACTCAGGTCGTAGAAAGTAGCCTGAGCAAGTGACATCCTCTCAAAGACCATTAGTACCTCATTAATCAACTTGTCTATTGCGTCTGATGTACACTTGCCCTTTCTAAATCCAAATTGCAAAACACTTATTCAATATTGTTATGTTCAAAAAAATAATTTAGCTGATCTAAAACCACGATTTCAAACAATTTTGAAATTTGATATTACTGGAATGATTGATATTGGGCGATAACTTTCCGGAGAGTCCTTTTTACCTTTTAGCGAATTTCCCTATAAGGAAGTAGCTATTACCGTAGGTGGCACGGTAAGACTTAGGCCCGGGACCGATTTACTTTTTCATTTTGATGTCCCAGAAGCCAAAAACACCATTCGTTAAAATTTATATATATATGTGTGTGTGTGTATCCGTAAACACGATAACTTGAGTAATTTTTGTCGGATTTTGATGAAATTTGGTTTGAAGGTGTAAGGCGGCATAAACTTGAATGAGTTCGCGAACCAGCATGATCCGACCATGGGAATGGGGTTTATGTGGGGTTTTATGGAGTAAAAATTGGTTTTTCTAATTTTTGACCCTCAAAAAATAAAATTTCCTAATTTCTCTCTGGACCTCCCTAAAGAGCTTGAAAAAATAAATAATTCCCAACAGACAGGAAGAATGAATTAAATTCATTTTCTACAGCCTCTGGGATGCTTGTCAGGTTCCTATTGACTTTGAGTGTGATTGGCTTAGATTTGTTATGTTGTTTTTCGTGTTATTTATAATATTCCACGTCGTTTTTGAGATATTTTCAGAATTGTAATTTTTTTGTTAATACCCTAAGCTTTTGCTGCATTAATCACATTTCTGTATATTTTCTTTTATTTTTTGAAAAAAAAAGTTTAAATTGCTCATTGCTTGTTCTAATTTTCTTTGAAAAAAAATATTTTTTCTTGTGATACAAAAATACCACAAGTAACCCAGTTTTGTTTGATTTTTTTTGTTTGGTTTTCTTTTAAATGGACAAGTGACGTCAAGATGGAAAATTAATGTATTGTTAAAATAATCTAAAGCTTTGTCAACTGATGCAAAACCATCTATAAAATCCCATTTTCCATGGTAAGATCTATATAAATAAAATTACAGTTTTGTCTGTACATTGCTTAGAATCATGCAGTTTTTGGTTATTTTTACGTTTCATAGCCTAAGAAAGCCGAAACGAGTCTTATCTCAATTTCTGTCTGTATATCTGTTTGTCTGTCCATTCTGTGACTCCGTCTGTGACGCCAAATTGTCATTTTACGCGGCCTACTCCTAGAAAAATAGAGCACCGATCAAGGTTCTAATCATTTTTCTGTATTTACTGGATTGGTGAGAGTGTCTTGGGCTATAAAAACATGGCCTCGCTTCTTTGAAAACAAAAACACGAACCATCAAAAACTCAATTTTGTTTGATTTTTGTCCAATTTTCTCCCAATGTTTCCTATTACATTTTATGAAATAACGATCAGCTGTTTGGATTAGTTCTCACTTCTAGCTTTCACTGATATGTTTACATTAAAAGTTGTTTACAAATACCGCAACCATTTCCGATCAAGTTTCGTTAGTACATCCAAACCAAGTGAGATTAGAAACGTTGTGCCTTACTTAACCTGTTTAATTAATCGCAAGTGCAACGAGTGTTCTTGAGTTTTTATAACCGGGGAAAATACCGTGAATCAGTGTGGGATTAGTGCTGGGAAACTTACATTTTTTTAATCGTCGTCACCAATGCTTACAAAAAGGTTTCCGCACTCATTTATGGCCCTTCAAGGACAGTTAGTTGTGTAAAGTGCAAAGTAAAAAATCACAACTGCAGTGGGTGATCGTGGATGTTGCTGCGATCTTGGAAGAACTTTCTGATTTCACTGTGATCGTAACAGAGGTTTAACTTACAGATGTAGCTAAATTCGCTTTTCCAAAGTGTCATTTTTTTGTTTCTACTTACTTACATTTCGACAACGATATCGGTACATTTTTTCTACTTAGGAAGTAAAACTACAAACGTCCAAAACCCCATTCGTGAGTTTTTTGTCACATTTCCTCCGAATGTTTGCTAGATATATGTATCGATTATCGAATAGAGATTACGTAATATTTTATAAAAAACCTTTGTTTGGATAAAGGTGGTTTCTTCAAACTGTCATTAATATGTTAACATTGTTAATTACAAATAATGCTATTAATGGGAAATAACTTTGATTTTTGAAAACTTAAAAAAAAATTAAACCAAGTGGGATTATAATAACTACGGTACTGCACCACATCAAGTGAAAGTTTTTTTGAGAAAACCATAGGGAGTTTTTAAAGCTTTACGTTGTTAACATACATGTTACATGTTTTGTGACCTGTGTATTTATTTATTTATATATTTGCCAACGGATTAACACAAATAATACAGGTTGATCACATGGACAGTTTGAATTGTTCTTAAGTACTATAGTTCTTTTCATAAATGTAAACGTTGGTTTTTGGTACTGCTACTTTTCCTTAGAACCAGTGGTAGCAGTAAGAATCATTTTTACATACAAACACATCACTATTTACAACTATAGTTATCGTTAGTGCTGCACCTTATTTAAAAATAAGGCCATTTCTTATTAAATTGAATTGATGTCTTACTGTATAATTTTAGCGTTTTCTGTCTGGACTCCAAAATGTTAGTTTATGCTATGAAATTAGTGCTGTGAATTAGTGAAAGATTTTTTTAGCAAACCATCATGAATTTTTAAAGCTTGGCGTTGTCAACGTATAAATGTTTTGTGGACTATGTATTTATTGACTTATTTATATATTAGTAGTGAGGTTGAGGTAGTATGTTAACTACTTTTAACCAGTGTGAAAAGTAACTTTCAATTACAGGCCTACCTGAGGGCTATGCCTCATATATCTATAAAACTGTCAGATATTGTATTTGCGAAGGTTTATATGTATTCCTATACAGTAGTAGTTTTGGCAGCATATCTGGAAAAATGCACACTAAATATGCAAACCAACTCCTGTTCTGAATATAAGGTTTCAACTTACTACAAGATTCCCGTACGTAGAACGGGCAAACACCTAGTTTCTTTATAAAAGGGAAATATTGCTTGGAGAAAAGTATCTTTTTGTACTTGTGGATAAGGGATCTAGTTCTGGCAAGCAACCTCCTATCACAGTTTCTTGTGCAAAGTGATCAGATATAGCTGTGTCAACCACTGTGACAAGGCTGTTGCGCACGTTAGTGACAACATTATCAATGGCGGTTTTGGGTGTAGCTGTGACCCGAGTAGGAGAGTTCACTGACCATTGAAGTGAATGAGGATGTCCTGAAACTGTTTGGTTACATAGTCACTTAAACTAAGAATGTCTATATTAAAATCACCAGTGGTTACTCACTGTTTTCCCTTGGACATTAACTTATGTAAAAGATTATCAAATTGTTAAAAGAATACATTTACCTGACTATTAGGGGATCTATAAATACCTATTACTACAATATTACCTATTTCGCTAAGATTAGTTTCAATTTCACTAATTTCAAAATGTAAATCAAGGGCAGAATTATTCATGAAAAAAGGTTTGTACTTAAGGCCATTTTTAACAAAAACTTATACACCTCCTCCCTTGTGATTTTTTCGTTGAAATGACTCAGCTAGCTCATAATCTATTGTCAAAAATTCTAAGTTGTTGTCAGTAAAACTTTTATGTTTGAAGTAAATACCTAAATTGATAGGTAAATTTGTTTAATAAAATAGAACTGAACTTATTCATGAGTCAAAAAACTAGAAACAAAAACAATAACAAAAACAAGTTAAAAGTCAGCTGCAATTTAAATAATGTTCAAAACATATCACTTCTTTCCACCAAGTTTAGGCTTCTTCAATAAGCCTCCTCTTTGGCCTGAAGGTCCTTGTTGGTCTTAGCAGCTGAGGAGGTACATTCGGGTGTGGTATAGCTTCTGCAGGGAATGTTCTAAATCGTAGCTGAGGAGTGACATTCGGATGTTGTGAAGCTACTGCAGGGAATGTTCTAGGGCTAGGAAATACAGCTGGTGATCCATAGTTTTCTGAATTCCGAACATGTACTTCTGGATTTCGTAATTGGCAATCTGAAGAAGACAGTAGCTGTGGTAGTTGTTTAATGGAGGGGTCGTC